CCAAACCTGCAGTATGTCTTCATATCCCTGAAGTCTCTGCATGCTTGGAGATTGGGCTGTAGAAGTGAGATTGTGTTTCCTGGAGAGCAATCTGTGAACAAGGTGTGCTTAAGCTAAAAGGTAGGGCATAATATCAACATCCCGAGCAGCACAGGGAGTAACATGACAGAGATTTGAAAAGAAAATGGATTCAATGTACCAGCTACGCGAAATGAAGCACCAGAATTCAAAGTCTGGGAAAATCGTGCCAGAGGTTGGCAAGATCATACCATAAAACTGAGGCCTTTCATGTGCAGCTGATGAATGCTGTCCACAAAATGCCCCATGTCTTATTGGGTGGGATTGGGCCCCTTGGTGGGTGGGACCAGGCCTCTGCATCCATTAAGCAAACCCCAAAGTGAAGGTCATCCAGGGTCCTGTGAGTTTGGGGGGCAAAATGGAAAGGTTTCTGTTTCTGTTTCTGTTTCTGTTTCTGTTTCTGTTTCTGTTTCTGTTTCTGTTTCTGTTTGGGCTTGTGGCTGACTGTGAGAATAAGCAGAGTTAAAATGTTCTTGCTGTCTGGCAGCTTCCTCCTCATTAGCCTCAGTGTTGCCCTTGTCGAACTCTGCAGGGAGAAGGATGGAAGCAAATCTAAAATTAGTTCACTTTTGCCTGTCATTGGTTCTGGCTCCACCTGTTGTTCTCCCTGCCTTCCCACCTTAGCAGTCTCAATGGACAACAGATTCACTGGGGGCACAAAACACTGTGAATGAGGTCTTAGAAGAACCACTGCTCTTGGGGAACTTTTGTTTGTATCATATGTGCTAAAGCAGTGGATGAAAGTCTTTTTTTTAAGGGGTCTGATTCCTGAAGTGTGTTGATAGTGTTAAATTAAACAGCCAATCCATTACTAGGCAATCGCCCTTTCAGGGCAACCCACAATTTAGTTTGCATTAGTAATTCACCAACTTGCCTAGAAATAGACTGAAATATGGCTGAAATTTCACTGTGGTATTCTAATTTTTAATTTCCCACAAATCTGAAATGGAGGACGAAAACACCCAAAGGCTCTTTTCACCTTCCTACCTATTGCAGACTGAATGGTTTATATATGGGAAATAAGCTGTTTTACAGCAGTCCCTCATGGAAGGTACTGGAATCCATTTTTTGCAGAAGAGGCATAAAAATGGCCAAAATGTGAGCGGGATGCGGCAGAATGAGAAAATGATTTGTGCATTTAGAGGCACAATTGCTTCTTCCAATAATGACTTGAGGGGAACAACATGGCAAAAATCTGCATTGGTGTTAAGACCATGTTACTCCCATAGAAGCAATTCCTACCAAAGAAAATGAACAGGAAATAAAAGAGGGATATGAATGAGAAATGGGATCCTCCTAAATTGAGGGTCCTGGTTGCACTCAGGCGCCTTAAGCCACCCCCACGGGGTGAGTTGTTGCTAGGTGTGGCCCAAGCCTTGTCAGTTGGGCCCTGGGATCTTGCCTGGCTGTTGTCGCTGCCCAACCACAACCCAAAAATCCTTTTGGTCAACAAAAGGATTAAGAATCTTGGTTGCTGGAAGTCAGATGCCTATAAGGGTTACGTTTGTTAATTTTCCTTGGAGCCTTTTCAGTTTTTACCTGTTTTCAGTTCGTTTTGGACTTTTACTGTTTACTTACCTGTTTGTGTTTCCTTTCTTAGTGTTGCCGGTGCTGCACGTCTAGATCCTTGGCCATAGTATCGTGCACTGGGCCGACATCTGAGCAGTTGAGACCAGCTTGAGGCGCGATCTCACTTTATCTGCTTGAGTAAAGTTTCATGGTTCACCAGGCAGGGATGCTCTGGAGGGGACTGTTGCCATTGGTGATTGCATGAGTGCCCTGTTTAGGTCCGCCATCCATGAACCTCATACAGCTGGGTGAAAATGATTTGCCTGCATCAAGAGGCATGGTCTTAAGGTTCCGTATCTAAAGGGATTTGCAGGAGCTGGCCATGTCTTGTCCCAACACATTATTTTTTTTGGTTTCCTCATGAGGCGCTTTTGGTGCAATAGCATCAGCCCAGTTGCAACAAATAATGCCCGGAAGTGGGTAGACTGCAAGGTAGTGCAGAAGGTGTTAATCCTGGATGGCAGGGTGATTCCCCCATCCAGGCATTGCATTCTCTAATGCAGCCCTATTTAGGGCAGATGGAGTGCATTTATCTGATGAAGGTAATGATATGCGGTTGGCCGAAGTCCGCGATGGCTTAAAGGACTGGTTGCGAGGTGAGGATATTGGCGGCGAGCGCTAGGCTCGTGTGGCGGTTAGGCATTGGTTTATAGAAATGTGCAGGAGGGGAGGTGTGGCCATCACCTGCCCCTCCAAAATTAGGGTATTCTGGTAAAGGAATCTGGGGGTCCTGGATCTCATCCGAAGTCCACTTGAGGGGCTAGGGCCATGCCAGGACCACAGGAACCCTGGGGTGAGTTTCAATCAATCTTCACCGATGTTGCTCCCTCGTTTGCTGTTTACCCTTTCAGACTGCCAGCCAGAGAGGCTGGAGTCGATAATAGTCTCTGACCAATGCCTAGGCCACTACCGCTCAATTTGTTTTGTAATCAATAAAGTTGTGGCCAAAATTTTGCCCCAAAACTTAAACTAATATTCTGTGTCCGTTTGAATCTATTTACTGGGGAAGGGCTTGGGGTCTCGAGGTGCAAAGTACAGACCATATTACCAAAGAAGAAAGGGGAGAAGTGACTTTAAATTCCCCCCGACCACATAGCTCACCAAATGATCTCTCAGCCTTACAGGCTTTAGAGCATTGTTGCAAGGAGTAAAAGCATATTTGAGAATTAAAAGTGCAAGCATATTTCAGTACATTTTAATTCACTTTTTAAGGATATAATTTAACTTGATTAATTATTTTAATTGAACTTCAGCCTTCATGGGAATTACTTTGAGTCTTCCAGTATCAGTTATGTACATTTCTATGGAGTAGTTGAATTTTTTAGTGGATGATATAAAACAATTCCAAACAAAATGACATTTTTTCAATAGACACCATACTAACACTTCAGTTATTCAGTGTAGCGGACATAAAACAAATACAATACAAGACAGCAAAGTTGCATTTCTATACACATTTCACAACATTTATATTTAATAAATGCTTTACTACCAACCTACAAGACATATATCATTATCTAGCAACAGGGTTCTGATCTTATAATTTACCAATATTAACTTTTTGTGTCTTAATTTACCTCTTCATAGCAAAAATCTATCTTTTTTGTCTTATACCTGTACAATGCTAAGGGCTAAAGAAAGAAATATAGTGTATATAAGCTCAAAAGAATCTATTTACTACTTTAACATTTCTCAAGTCATACATTAACATTTAGCAAGTCATAAAGAATTTACATCTCTAAGCGATTTGTGTGTAATAGAGGTTAGCAATATGCATATCATCCTGAATATGAGCAGCATTTACAAAATGAATCCAGTCCACCTCAAATTGTAAATAGGTTATACAAGTAGCATTGCTCAACTAATAAAACATATATGGCCCCAATATATTGTAAGAAAGTCGGAAGACTCAACTGGGTTTAAACAGGGCCAACATGTTATTGATGCAACCATATACGATTTGCAAAAGGGCTGGTAGTGGATAAGCACACTAAGAAAATCTAATTCAGTGTGGTAGGGACTGGATCTGGTACAGTACCATCTAACAGGTTGCACCCCAAGTGGGAATGTCCAAGGGGAGCAGCCCTCTCTTATTCTGCAAACTGTAATAAAGACCATGGATTACTGAGGCTCACCTAGGTCCATTCATCCACTAATAAGCTTCTTAAGTTCCATTGGGTGTGCTAGGGGTTCATCAGCATCTTTAGAAGGAGCTCCTAGGAGGATTACAATTTAGCTCCCTTTTATAACATCATGTTTGCTGACTGGGAAAGGTTATGGACCACAGGTATGAAATTTACGGCCTGTAATGCCTTAAGAGAAAACATAATGAAAATGATTTATAGGTGGTACTTAACCCCAGTCAAGCTAGCAAAAATTTATCATTTGCCTGATAATAAATGTTGGAAATGTAAAGAAAATGAAGGTACTTTCTTTCACCTTTGGTGGACGTGCCCAAAGATCAAGGCATTCTGGGAAATGATATATAATGAATTAAAAAGGTATTGAAATATACTTTCTTAAAGAAACCAGAGGCCTTCCTCTTGGGCATGGTCGGCCAATTGGTGCGAAGGGAAGACAGAACGTTTTTTATGTATGCGACAGCAGCAGCAAGAATACTCATTGGGAAATATTGGAAGACACAAGAATTGCCTACCCGAGAAGAATGGCAGAGAAAAGTGATAGACTATATGGAACTGGCTGAGATGACCGGAAGAATCCGAGACCAAGAAGAAGGGTTGATGGAAGAAGATTGGAAAAAGTTTAAAACATACCTTCAGAACTACTGTAATATAAAAGAATGTTAGGAAAGGTTGGAGAAGAAATATTAGACCGTATTGGCAGACAGAGTATAATGGAATTAAGTAAATATGAAGTGTAAATTAAAAGATAGAGGAGAACTAAATATTTTGGAATGTTAAAATGTTAAGATAAGTAAATGAAAAGAAGGTTAGAAAGATTTGCTGGAGATACAATTTAAATTAGAATACAAAGCAGAGAAGTGAGAGGAAGCCACGGAAATAAGTAAATGGGAATACGGTTTGCTTAATTCGAATTTTCTTTTTTTTGTAATTTTTTCTTTTTTCTATTGTGACTTTTTGTCTTGTGTATTTTTCTTTGCTTCTTTTTTTGTACGGTGTGTTTTTTTGTAAGAAGTATGTGATTGGTTCTTCTTGTTGTATTTTTTTTTTTTCTTTTTGTAACTTTAAAATTTGAATAAATATTCTTATAAAAAAAAACAATTTAGCTCCCTTTCTTCAACCTCACTTTGAATGCTGGTACCATATTATTCTAGTTCCAAATAAAGCTGCTCTTTCCACTGAAATGTTACTAACACTTAGTGACATTTAGAACCAGCAAGGAAGACACCACAAAGCAGGCACAACCACGCACCCCCAAAAACAAGGAAAATTCCCTGTGTATCCCCCAGAGTGGATGGAGACAAGCTCCAACTCCCTTTGCTGTATTAAACATTCTGTTACCTGGTCCTTAGAACTGTAAGCTCAACACACCCTGCACACCCACTGGTGGTGGCTAGTTTCCACTTGACATGCTTCCAGCTACACATTAGTTTGTTTTTGCCACATCTGTAAATTCTTAAGTCCTCCTCAGATTTATAGACTGAATAATAGTTCTAGTCTACAACTGGGATAAATGAGGAACATAGGAATTCTGGCAAGGCCCAAGAGTTGAGTCTTTGGCATATCAACATAAATCAAAAGCTGTCCAGTGATGTTATAATAACCAAGGTGATTCCTGGAAGAAATTTCAACGTCATTTCTAAAATGCAGTAAGAGGCAACAAAAGTAGGTCAACAGATCAGCAGTGCATGAAGTCAGATTAAACTGTAACCACATTTCTGCAGAGCAAAAATT